AGAGCGTGAGCGAGGGAGGGCAGAGAGAGAGGGAGACACAGAATCCAAAGCAGGCTCCAGGCTCTGAGCTGTCAGACGCAAGGCCCGAACCCACGAAGTGCAAGATCATGACTTGAGCCTAAGTTGGACAGTCAACGGATTGAGCTACCCAGGTGCTCCCACTACCCCATTTTCTTAATCAGAATCCAACACTGCCTCCCACAGTATATATAAGTGTGAGTATGAAACTTTGCAGTTAATAGCTTTGATGAAAACTGGGAGGCCAAGGCACTGGGCCAGAAGGTGGTGCTGTATGAATGTGTACCCTCTTCTGAAAGGTAGCTACCCTTGGTCTAGGTAGCTGTGTCCTACCCAGGAAGCAGGGAAGAGAGGACCCAAGGTACAAAATAAGGGTTGGTCAGGACCGAAGACTATTTATACAGATGGGGAGACTCAGTTGTGAGGTATGATGCACGTAAAAGGAGAGAAGAAATAGGGGTTTCAGTCTCTTCGTTCATTCATTCATTCATTCATTCATTCTTTATCTCACTCAGCAAATATTTGTTACTGCTCATTCAGCACCAGGTTCTCCACAGGGTGCAGAGGAAATGGATCAGTTAAACAACTCCTGCCCTCAAGGATCAAAGACACAGAAGCAAAAACAGGTAACCAACCATTATCTATTAATGCAACAAATATTTACTGAGTACCAAGCACTGGAGACACAGCAGGAAAGAAGTCAGAAAAGGTCTCATCCTCACGGAGTTTATAGGCTTGCTTCCTTCCTTCCTTCCTTCCTTCCTTCCTTCCTTCCTTCCTTCCTTCCTTCCTCCCCCCCCCCCCCCCCCCCCCCTTCCCTTCCCTTCCCTTCCCTTCCCTTCCCTTCCCTTCCCTTCCCTTCCCTTCCCTTCCCTCCTAATTCTTTTATGTTTTACTTTTGAGAGAGAAAAAGAGAGAGAGAGAGAGCTGGGGAGGGGCAGAGTGAGAGGGAGACACAGACCAAAGGCAGGCTTCAGGCTCTGAGCTGTCCGCACAGATCCCCAATGCGGGGCTCAAACTCATGAAATGTGAGATCATGACCTGAACCAAAATCTGACGCTTAACTGACTGAGCCACCCAGGCACTCCTCTTTCTTTTTTTAAAAAAGTTTATTTATTTATTTTGAGAGAAAGAAAGCATGAGCAGGGGAGAGGGAGAGAGAGAAAGAGAGAATTCCAAGCAGCCTCTGTGTTGTCAGTGCAAAGCCTGATGTGGGACTTGATTTCACACATCATGAGATCATGACCTGAGCCAAAATCAAGAGTCAGACTCTTAACCTACTGAGCCACCCAGGGGCCCCATGTCATTATCTTTGTTGTGTGTGTGTGTGTTAATTTTAGAGAGCAAGAAAGCGCAATCAGGGGAGAGGGGTAGAAGGAGAGAGAGTCTTGAGCAGGCTTCATGCTCAGCATGGAGCTTCACTTGGGGCTTGGTCCCACAGCTCTGGGATCATGACCTGAGCTGAAATCAAGAGTTGGACACTCAACCGACTGGGCCATCCAGGCGCCCCGCATTATATCTACCCATGGAAGAGGTAGGTACCAATGCTCTGTACGCAGACATAGAGGCCAGAGCTCAGCAGGATGTCTTACCCTGGAGCAGATGGATCATGGAGCTCTGTGGCTGAGAGGGGGCAGAGGCCTGAATCTGTCTCACTGCTTAGGGACAGTATTCTTCTGCCCAGTCTTGGCTGTTAGAAGGGAGACTATGAATCAGAGCCCACGGTCCAATCACCACTGAACAGAGGAAGAAGAGAGGTTCAGAGGGGTGAACCAACTACCTGGTCCCTGTCACACAGGCAGGGAACATGAGAGGGGTGGCCAAGGAGGAGTGCTCTCCCTGGCCCGGGTGGAACACTGACACTACTCTGCAGAGGTGGTCAAGTGGAAGGAACCCTGATCGTCTGGGATGTTCTAACAAGTCAGCCAGTGGACATCTTGGGACTATTTGGAGAGACAGACGCCCCCTGCTGGCTCAACATGATTTAGGTAGTGAGGCAGTTGGAAGGGGCATCCCAATGGGTCCTGGTGAGGGGAGCAAGAATGAGGAAACTCCAAATAATTCATACAGTGTTTTTGTTTTTATTTATTTTTAAATCTATTTTTAAAAGTTTATTTATTTGAGTTGGGGGCGGGGGGGAGAAATAACCCTAAGCAGACTCTGTACCGTTAGCCCATGAAGCCTGATGCTGGACTCGAAATCACACTGTGAGATCATGACCTGAGCTTAAGTAGGATGCTTAACCGACTGAGCTACCCAGGTGCCCTCTTTTTAAATTTTATTTTTTTATTTATTTAAAAAAATTTTTTATGGTTTTTATTTATTTTTGAGACAGAGAGAGACAGAGCATGAGCGGGGGAGGGGCAGAGAGAGAGGAAGACACAGAATCTGAAACAGGTTCCAGGCTGAGCTGTCAGCACAGAGCCCGATGTGGGACTCAAACCCACGAACCGCGTGATCATGACCTGAGCTGAAGTTGGACACTCACTTAACCGACTGAGCCGCCCAGGCGCCCCCCTTTTTAAATTTTAAAGAGAGGAGAGAAATGGTGGGGGGGAGAAGGCTAGAGGGAGGGAGAGAGCGAGAGCGAGAGCGAGAATCTTAAGCAGGCTCCACACTCCGCATGGAGCCTGGCTCAGGGCTCAGTCCCATGACCCTAGGATCATGACCTGAGCCGAAATCAAAAGTCAGACTCTCAACTGACTGAGCCACCCAGGTACCCTGGAGATTTTATTTATTTATTTATTTATTTATTTATTTTAAGATTTTTTTTTTTAAGATTTTTTTTTAAATGTTTTATTTATTTCTAGGAGAGAGAGAGAGAGAGACAGCGTGAACAGGGGAGGGCCAGAGAGAGAGGGAGTCACAGACTGAAACAGTCTCCAGGCTCTGAGCTGGCAGTCAGCACAGAGCCCGACGCGGGGCTCTAACCCACGAACCGCAAGATCATGACCCAAGCGAAAGTCGGACGCTTAACCGACTAAGCCACCCAGGCGCCCCACTTAAGATTTTATTTTTAAGTAATTTCTATATCCAGCATGGGGCTTGAACTCACAGCCCCAAGATCAAGAGTCACATGTTCCACCAGCAGAACCAGCCAGGGTCCCCCAAACTCTGGGGATTTTAAAGTGGGCCAGAGCCTGATTTCTGACAGAAAGGGTCTCCTTGTAGGAACCAGAGGAAAGAAGGACTGGGATCTGATCACTTGGCTATCCTGACTCATCAAGTGCTCAGGAATCTGGAGGCCGGTAGCATCTGTCCTAGGAAGGGAGAAGAGGAGAGACGGGGAAGGGAATTCACTTACAAGTACTTCACACACTATCTCCACTGCCATGGGACACAGAGGGGGAGGCTGGGAGACGGGTTTCAGCCATGTGCCTGAGAAGAGGGGAAGGCAGAACACAGATCTTAGCACACACCAGCTATCGCTGTTGCAAATGCTGACCCCCCCCCCCCCATAATGGCAGAACCACTCCTTGACTGGACGGGAGGTTAACCCCAGACTTTGACGAGATGAGAATTCGATCGTTTTGCAAACACTGCCGGCAAAACTAGGAAACTGTGGAGTAAATTAAAATGAGGCCCATCCATCACCCTCTAGACTCTTTTTTTTATTTCAAATGGGCTAAAAAATCATTTTTAAGACGCCACCAAGATTATGTGAGAGCAGAAATGCATACATTCCAATTGTGGAGGGACGACAATTTTCTAACTAAAATAAATTAGTGAGGGTGATGACATATAGTCAGCCAAATGACAAAAATAAAAGCAGGGCACTGGAAAAAGATATGAGTTTAGTGGCCCGAGTAGGTGGGGGAATAAAAATAAATCTGTGAGGGGAATACCCAGGGTCCAGGGGACAGATGGCCAGTCACTTTGAGACACCTGGAAAAAAGGTTAAACACTTAGGAACAGTTTAGTCTTTATAGGTCTAAATGGTATGCAAATACCTCATTAGAGCCAAGAAGACGACCCCAACTCTTACCAATAAAGTTAGCAAAAATCAGTTAAAATGATGAGGCCCGCAGCTGGCCTGATGGGAAACAGGAACTCACTCATGTGGGCTTGTGAGTCAGCGCAGCGGTCCTGAGGAAACCTGGCCTGACAAGATGATGCATTCCTGTGCCCTTGCGCTCACTGATCTCACTCTTGGGGACAGATCTCAAGGAAATAGCTTAAGAGGAATACTAATTAGAGAAGCATGACTGTTTGCCCAGGTGCCTGCAGTTAGGAACCGGTTACCTAAAATTCCATGTTTGGAATATTCTGTTGCCATAAGAAGTTCCTGTCTGGAGTCAGAGAGCTAGGGGAGCTCATCTCAAATCTGCCATTTAGCTGTGTGACTTTAGATATGTCACTTAACCTCTCTGAGCCTCCGATCCTCCTGGATAAAATGGGGATAAAAATAGATTGCTACCCCCTGGGGTTGTGTAGTAAAAGGAGGTCGTGTCTATAACGTGTCCACACAGTGGCCTACACAGACTGCTTAACAGAGGGTAGCTGTTGTTATTGGAAGATGACTACTTGATAGATCTCAGAGAAAGAGGTCCTGTTTGCAAAAGATGCAGTAGCATCAGAAAGTCTCAGCTTTGTATCTTTTAAGAAGAGCTGGTTTCTGGACTCCTGGTTTTTTATTACAAAGTCAGAAAAGGGAAAATAAGTCTCTGCCACTGACTACTGAGGAGTCCACCGAAACGCAAAGGGGGTAAACCTCTTCAAAGGGGGCTAAATTTGCCTAGAGCAGAGAGGAAATGCCGGCCAGGCTCTACTCGCAGCAAAGTGGTGTCACCACTGGGGTGTCTCCAAGGATCCGGAAATGCACATTTTTCGAGGCCTGCTCTGCGACAGGGGTTTTAGAACTTCAAGTTTGGAATTTTTACCTTCCGCTTTAGGGCGAAGGTAATCTGACCAAGGTCACACGTTAAGTGACCCCGTATGACAGGTCCCCAGGCTGGTGCTGGTAACCACTGCACCTACTGCCTTCAGCTGCCCCGCCGGGCGCGGTTCGGGGGACGGGAAGGCACCCGAAGGGCTGCGGGATCGAGGGTCTCGGAAGGGGAGAGCTGGGCTGGGGGTGGTCGCAGGCTCCCGGTGGTGGTGGCACGTCGAGGGTCCTGGCTTATCCTTTCCTCTCCGGGAGCCCCGGGGCGCGCCCCACTGCGGAGCCCTCCTCCCGCCAGCAGGGGGCGCCGAGGAGACTGCGGGCGGGAGGTCGTGGGGCGCAGAACCGCCGCCGCTCCCTTTCGGAGTGGGCGCCAAGACCACGCCCGCGGCGAGGCTCCGGGACGCGGCCGGGGCGGGATCCGAGCCCCCGGGGCGGGATCCGAGCCCCCGGAGCCCCCCGACGGAGGCCCGTCCCACAGCGCCACCTCCCCCGTCCGCGCCTGCCCGGAAGCGCTGGCGCCGAGGGGGCGGGGCCGGGAAGCGCTTCCGGGGGCGGGGGGCGCAGGCTGGGGCGGCAGCCGGAGCGGCGGGGACGGGCCTGGCGCCGGCGGCGGCGGAGGGGGCGCCGCGGGCGGGCGATGTGAGCGCGGCGCTCTCGGCAGGTGAGGCGCTGCGGGCGGGGGCGGCGGGCGGCGGGCGAGGCGCGGGCGGAGCCGGCGGGCCTGGGGGGGCAGCCCTCGGCCGCTGTCCGGCTCCCTCTGGGCGCGGCGGGGCGGGAGCGTCCGCGCCTGGTCAGTCCGGCGGGTGGGCGGGTGGCGCGGGCCGGAGCCGAGGCCGGGCGGGGTCGGGAGGCCCGGGCACCTGCTCCGGCCAGGCGCGCGCCCCGAAGGGGCCAATCGCGCTCGGCCCCGGAGTCCGAGCGCCGCCGGCGGGGCGGAGGGTCGCGTTCGGCCAGCTGACCCGGGCTCCCCAGCCTCCGCCCCGGGCGTCCCGGGATCCCCTGCTTCCGGGCCCCTCGCTTGCAGGGGCGCTCCCCTTTTGTACCGGGAGGCCGGATGGGTGAGTGCCCTGGAGAGTCCAGCCGGGCCGCGGGGTCGGCCCTGCTGGCGGCTGTAGCGGAGCCCCTGCCCCACGCCACCGCTTTTCTTCAGGTAAACAGGCGGCGGCGCGTCCAGCTTGGCCCTAGACGTCTCCATGGTCACTCTCGCCGTCAGTCGATCCTCACATTAAGGAGGGCCGGGCTGGGGGTGGCCTCGGGGTGTAAACAGTGCGCTTCTAGGCTGGGCGGCTGTGCTTTAGGGCGGCACTAGTCTGGGAGTTGTCTTGAGGCTTTCAGCGAGCCTTTTCCGCGCTGGGCCTCAGTTTCCCGATCTGTTCAGTGAGGGTTTTAGATGAGCTGTCTAAAGACCCTTGTAGCGCTACCATTCTGTGCGCGTCTGAAATCGGAAGGGCTGTCCCTGGTTCAAGATACTGGACAGTTTCACCAGAGACTTTTTTGCAAATGTGGACTTTTTGGCCACTTGGTTTCGGGCAGGCTTTAAAATGCTTCCAAGACGCGTTTCTAAACCTTAACCTTAATCATAGGTCATCCCTTGCTTTTGTCCCTAGTAGTAGTCAGGCACGTCCCGCGGAGTTTTTGCATGGAGAATTTTTTTGCTGTTTATATTTGCCCATTTTCTCTTTGTTCCTTAGTCCAGGCCGTCTTTGCTTCACATCTGGATTATTGCAACAGCTTCTTAGTTGGTCTGTGACTTCAGAAGTCCCCCGGCTCCCCCCTCCTTCCTTTATGCTAATGCCAAACTTAATATAGGAAGTCAAAAAGAGAGTTGAGTGCTTGCTTGATTAGTAAATGTCAAGATGCTGTTCCATGTGGTGGGGGAAAGTAGTGGAAGGCCCACAGCCTGCTGGCAGCTTTCCCCTAGGTGCTGACACTTGACCTGTGAAAAGGTAATTGAGGAGACAGTGCTGTGTGCTACAGAATTAAGAGGAAGGAGAGATGGAGGTCACTAAAGGCTGAGTGGTCAGGGAAGGCTTAGCGAGGAGGCAGGATTTGAGCTGGCTGGTAGAGGTTGAGTAGGATTCAGCTAGGAAGAGAGGAAGCAGGCCCAGTGATCCCGTGGAGTTCGTGAATAGACCAGGCTCCTTGTTCACCTAGGAAGGCAGTAGGAGGGAAGATTGGTTGAGGCTTGTTCGCCAGAGAACTTGAACACTAGGCCCGCGTTGAAACTATTTGAAACGCAGTGAGCAGCGGGGGACTCGGGTGGTTTGTGATAATTTGCAGGAGGGGAAAGGAGGCGCTAGGGGCCAGAACAGCTAAGAGGCCGTGGCATGGAGTAGTGCCCCCTTGTCTGCCACACTGTGACCAGCCATTGCCCACCCTGTCTTTTCATGATTCTCCTTGGTTTGGCTCCTCCTCACCTACCTGCTCCTTACTCCCTGCCTCTCCTTCTCTGTCTGCGCTCTGCAGGAGCAAGTTTATGACTGCCTCTAGGGCTTCGTTCCTCTCGGTCCCCCTTCTGAAGTGCCGGCCTCCTTTTTCTTTGTGGAAATTCTCCATTTCACTTCCTTCAAGCCCTGCTGAAGATATACTTCCTCCAGAGGGTGTTCCCTGACCGCCCTACCCCCATGCCTTTGCGGCACTCTACAGGATTCTGCATTTGTGCCTTGGTTATTGAACTTGTTCTTGTCCCAGCTGGAGTGGGTGTTCTTTTGAGGGCATTGTGTCTTAATACTTGTTACGGAGCCCTGGTGGCCTCTACTCTTATGATAGGTGCTCAAACACTTCCTGATTCTTGTTGGTAAACAACTTTTTAAAATCTTTTTGATTCCCCTCCCTTTTTATTTTTTTAAAAATTTTAAAAATGTTTTATTTATTTCTGAGTGAGAGAGACAGCTGAGCAAGGGAGGGTCAGAGAGAGAGGGAGGCACAGAATCTGAAACAGGCTCCAGGCTCTGAGCTAGCTGTCAGCACAGAGCCCGATGCGGGGCTCAAACCCACGAACTGTGAGATGATGACCTGAGCCGAAGTCGGACGCATAACCGACTGAGCCACACAGGCACCCCTCCCCTCCCTTTTTAAAGGGGAATCTGTTATTAGTTATCAGCTTTCTCTGTTGTATATTACTTAATGTCTAATGTTGCCATCTGGATATTTCTGGCTTTCGTTCTTTTTTTTTTTTTTTTTAAGTTTATTTATTTATTTTGAGAGAAAGTGTGATGGGACGGAGGAGGGGCAGAGAGCGAGGGAGAGAGAGAATCCCAAGTAAGCTCTGAGCCACCAGCGTGAGTCCCACGCAGCACTCGAACTCGTGAAACCAAGAGCCCAAAGCTTAACCGACTGAGCCACCCAGGTGCCCCCGGCTTTCATTCTTAGAGTGCAGATAGCATGAAACGAATCTTTGAAAGATTAAAAAGTTTACTCTTGATTACAGAAAAGAAAAACGTCATGTAATTCTTCTGTTGGAGACTGTTGAGAGAGAATATCAGCTTTGAAATCACATAGGCCTGGGTTTGGATCCCAGCAAGGCTACTTACCATCTCTGTGAATTTGGGCAAAATGTATGATGTCTCTGAGCCTTTCTGTCTTCTCATCTCTGGTGTGGAGATAATAAAATCCATCTCATAGAGTTGCTGTGAGTTTTAAAATGGAAAAAACTAAAATGAAGGAGGTAGCAGAATTTGTGGCTCCTATTAACTGCTTAATACACTTTCCCCACCATCACCTCCATCACTTTCGTCACGTGTAAATCTGTCACGGTGGAGAAATGATAGGCTCTGAACCGCAGCTTCCCCGAGTTGTGGATTTCTGCATGTCTCTGGATCCTCTCCCTCGAAGCACTTATTGATATCAGTATCCTGAATCTAGAATGCTATCATTATGTTTTATTCCCATTAATTTTCATGGTACTTCTTAATTGTACCCATTTAATGTTTTATAGCTGACTGCTGAATTTAGCTTAGTGAAGGCCATCAACTGAATGCAGTTTAATTTCTAATGGTTATTTTCTGGTTGATATTGATGGCATGGAAAACCTCACGGAAGAAAGCGATTCAAGGTGAGCTTTTCTAACCCTTCTGTCTTCAGAGGCAGGACTTGATGTGTTTCCTAGGTCCAGTGTCCCGGGAAATGCCAGCAGTAAGCAGCTAAGATGCCATTTTTGAGCTCTTGGCCGTAAGAAAGCTTACTCGTTCCTGTACATGAAACACGTCTTTCTCATTTGTGATGAATTAATGAAACATCTATTTGCCTATTCATAGAAGTAAAAAGATGTTTTTGGATATAGTGGACATGATGCAGAGAAATGGCTGCAGACTACTCAGAGTATAACATTGTAAAACTTTAATTATCATCGTGTCAGTGTAACGATACTTTTTCTTTTTTAATGTTTTATTTATTTCTAGGAGAGACAGAGAGAGAGAGAGAGAGAGAGAGACAGCGTGAGCAGGGGAGGGTCAGAGAGAGAGGGAGTCACAGACTGAAACAGTCTCCAGGCTCTGAGCTGGCAGTCAGCACAGAGCCCGACGCGGGGCTCGAACCCACAAACCGCGAGATCATGACCTAAGCGAAAGTTGGACGCTTAACCGACTCAGCCACCCAGGCGCCCCTAACGATACGTTTTTAAATGAGAATTCCCTTTCCACTCAGCATTGATCAACAAGGGTCCGGTATGGCTACAACCCCTGCATCTAACCATTGTGCCTGGATGAAAGTCTTACTCTTAGAGGAGATGAGAATTCCCGCTCGGGAGACTGACAGATCCAGGTTCAAATCCTGGCTCGGCAGTGCTTCGTGACCTTGGAAAAGGTTCTTGGTCTCTCTGAGTTTGTCTCCTTCCCCGGAGGATGGGGTGCGCCGCACTGTCTGTCTCTCAAAATGGTGTCAAGAAGGTTCAGTGAAGAGGTAACAGAACTTAACGAAGCCTTCCACACAGTAGGAGTGTGACCGTTTGTCCTTGACATTGCAGGTGAGGTTAAAGAGGCCATCCCTCCCCTGCTCGGACAGCTCAGGAGAAGCTTCTGATGTTTTGCCTTGACTGCAAGGCAAATGCCACTGTCAAACCAAGCCGTACTCTCAGAATTAGTGTAACTGAGCAGACTTGGAGAATGTTAACGCCTTGGTAGGAAATCTAACAGTTTGGATAAAAATGTTCTTTCAGGCTCACATGAATTAATGCAGTAAGAACTCTAGACTTGTTTTCTTTTAAATTAGGATGAGTGCTTCATGAATATCCATCACGGAATGCCATTTTATTTATTTTTTTCGTGCATTGGGTTTCAGCAGCACCAGAATGTTTTATGCAGCCCTGGTGTTATTCGGCTGGTGCTTTCTAAAGGATTAGATTGTAATTCATGACAGCTCAAGTTTAGTTTTGATCTAGACCCAGGCAGAAATACCTAGAAAAGTTATTTTTATATAGTTGTTACTGCTGTTACCATGCCGGCTGTCCCTAGTGCTTCCATCTGTGGTCTTTTTCGTGACTTTTTGTATGGAATGGAAATTAGGGATCTTAGGTCTCCCGTGCCTGGTGGAGGAAGCCTGGATTGGTGTGGGGCTCTGATATCCGCAAGTGACTGAATCCCACAGGTGCAGATCTGGGTGCGGAGTCGTGAGCATCTCGAATGAGAATAATGGGTACCTCCTAGCGCCTTAAACAACTGCCAGATTTGTAACCTTGCCTTCTTTTCTTAGACGTGTCCCTGGGTATTTTGAAATGGAGTGGAGCAAATTAGAGAGCTTGTGGGTTAGACGGAAAGGAGCCACCGTGGTAGATTTCACCTGTACCTCTTGGGTCTTCAGCAGGAAGAGTTGAGAGCCGGGGGTGTAGCGATGGTGGCAGCCGGGGATTTTGAGCCACCAGCGTGGTTCAGGTTGAGTCAGCTGACATGTGCTGAGAGCCCCTCTCTCTGCCAGACATGGTGCTGGGCTCTGGGCACACAGCCCCTGCCCTCCGCTCACCGCCGCGAATGTGAGCTCAGCAGCACATTCCCAGTTGCTCACATTTTACGCTTGCGCTTTTGTTCCAGTTGCCGTTATGGGGAAACACTTTGAGAGCTTTACCCAAGAATGTTGTAGAGGAGATCGGGAGGCCCGTGTGGGTGTTTTGCCCAGATGGCATCCAAGCATCTTCTCTCCTCCCTAGGCTCTCCTGCGAATGGCTTAGCCGCGCGGCACGATGACACTAGTCTAGGCCCTGGTTTTCATTGTGCAGTTTCCTCACAGCTTGACAAAAGGCATGATGCCGAATTTCACTGATGAAATGATGTGCTGAGGAGAGGGCTGGGTGTGCGGGGTGCCTCGTTCTCCAGACCGTGTTACAGCACCTCTTTCATAGGAGCAAACAGCAAAACTTTTCTGCTCTCAGCTCAGCTCGTTTCTGTTTTCTCTCCCTGAGTAACCTCTTAACACGTCAGCCCTCAGTTATACAGGTTTTGGTTACTCCCAGATCGGAATCTGATGTCACTGTACAGCCGCACACCCCTTCTTCCCACCACCAGTCAGACAGGCAGCCCAAACTCCTCTTGTCTGGGGCTGGACTCGCCTCCTAGGATAGATAATGCCCTTCCTTCTCCAAGTCCTGTTGAGTCCTTTGGACTCGTGTTCAAGTTGGCTGCTGCCAGAGTTCAGTTTGAGTTCTCTAGTGTTCAAGGCTCTCCCCTTCCAACAGAGGTTCTCATCTGTGCCCTGTCACCCCTCGAACCTGGGCCCTGGCCGCTACCCCGGACACCCCACATTTCACTCCTGTGTTCCCTGCTCCTGCCGTCCCTTCTCTCTGAAGTGTTCTTTCTGTTTCCTTTTGAAATACAAAGCCCCGTTCACATATTACAAATACCAGGAAGCTTTCCTTTGTTCTGTTTTGATTTTTTAGAAAGTCTTTTTGGTCAAGAGTAATCAGTCTTGTCATTGCTCCTCATAGTTCTTTGTTTCTGCCTCTATAATTGTCTTCTTGATACGCTAATTATCCACTTGCAGCCTATCTTTCTCTTTCTCTAGATTCTTTGGTTTACAAAATTATATATTTTTAGGTAGAATCTTACACATGTCTTAAAAAAAACTCTTAGTGAGAATAATACAGCTATGTGATAAAACATTCAAGAAGTATAAAATGAAGCCTGTTTCCCTTCCCTTTCCCCAGTCCTTAGTCCTCATTCCCAAAGTCACCAGCATTAAGTCTCATGTGACTTCCTCGCAGAGCAGATACAGCAGTGCATATTTATTCTTTTAAGAAAAGTGCATGAAGGGGTGCCTGGGCGGCTCAGTCGGTTAAGCAGCTGACTCTTGATTTGAGCTCAGGTCATGATCTCCTGGTTGGTGAGTTTGAGCCCCACATTGGGTTCTGTGCTGACAGGGCGGAGCCTGCTTGGGATTCCCTCTCTGTCCCTCTCTCTGCCTCTCCCCTGCTTGTGCTCTCTTTCTCTCTCTTGAAAAATAAGAGTACCTGAAGAGAATTGCATATATGCATACATATTGTTCCAGATCATGCTGGTTTGGAGTAAATAATAAAGCTCTTTTTATTTATTTTTTTTTTAATTTTTTTTTTTTAATGTTTTATTTATTTTTAGGAGAGAGAGAGACAGCGTGAGCAGGGGAGGGTCAGAGAGAGAGGGAGTCACAGGCTGAAACAGGCTCCAGGCTCTGAGCTGGCAGTCAGCACAGAGCCCGACGCGGGGCTCGAACCCACGAACTGCGAGATCATGACCTAAGCGAAAGTCGGACGCTTAACCGACTAAGCCACCCAGGCGCCCCAATAAAGCTCTTTTTATATCAAAGCATACAGGTTATCTGTCTTTGTTAATGGTTGTGTAGTGTTTCACTGTTGGCTTTTTTTTTTTTAACCAATCTCCTCTTAATGGATTTTGAAGTTGTTCCCTTTCTCTTTTTCTTGCTTGCTTTTCTTTTTTTTTTTTTTTTGCTATAGCGAATAAAAGTGCTTACTGGCCATCCTTGTTAACATATATCCTAACATACGTTTGTGTGACTTTTGTAGGCTCAATTCATAGCAGTTAATGGTGGACCAAATGGTGAATGCCTTTTACATTCTTCTGGATCTTACCAGGTTCTCTCACAGGATTAGACTTGCCAGTTCTTCTTAAATGTGTGCAAGTCAGATGGGTTACAACTGGCATCTCATTTTTCCTTGTTTAGTCATGAATAAAGCTAAACATTTTTTCATGTGTTCTTTGGTCATTTGTCTTTTCTTTTCCTGTGAAACGTTAATTCCTTTGCCTCTTCTTCCGTAGGATTTTCTGTTTTGTCCCAATCTGACTGACTTACAATATCAATTAGGGAATTTGGAAAGTAGCCCTTTGTCAAATGTGCATGTAGTTTTTCTCAGCATGTCATTTACTTTTGGGGTTTGCAGAGGACATTTTTTTTTTTGTCATATGTTGGCAGATGTGTTCATCTTTGCCTTTGTGGCTTCTGGGATTTCTGTCATGCTTGGAAAGGCTTTTAAGTCGTTATTATAAGTAAATTCATCCATGCTTTTTTCAGTTAATTTTTTGGTGATAATAAGGCCTTATAAAAATATTGTCATAAGAATATACTCACATTAAATGGAAAATAATGGGACCCTCTTTCCATCCCCTGGTGCGTTTATAAGATCGGTAAACCGGTAGCACTTCTGAAAACTCATGTTGCCTCCCTTAATCATGTTTCCCATCAGCTGAACCTCTAGCGTTGCCGTGTGTAAGGGCAGTCACTGCCTTTTCCCCTTTTTGCTCCAAGTCGGTGGGAGGAGAAGGGAGAGGGAGAAGAGTATCGATTATCCCTACTGTCCATCCCTATTTGCCAAGTGGCTTTTTTATTCTGAAGCTCCTTCAGATAAAACATGTTTGTTCTTAGTGAGCTTTGGAACCAGGATTAGGGTTAAGATTCCCCCATTTGTTGGGCTTTCAGAACAGCACCTTGTCCTGACGCATGGGTGTGGCAAGATGGTCCTGTAGCTCTTTTGGGTGGGATCGCGCAGAGATTTCCAGCAACCTCATTGACTACACCTCGTTCTTGCATCTTGCATCGGATCTTAGTTTTCTCTTCAGCGCCTGCGTGCTTGTCTATCGCTAGGCCCCCTCTCCTCCCCTTTTTCCCTCCAGCCTGTGGGAGGAGCTTCCCAGGCTGACCTTGTACGGTACACAGTGTGGCTGTCCCATGGCTTGTGCCCACAGGGTCTCTCTGTGTAAATGTCCTCTCTTCTCTGGTTGCCCAGGCTGCCCTCACTTCCCAGCGTGGGTCCCTTTTCGTCCCAAACCTGCTCCTCTTCCGCTCCTCTTGGTGCTGGCCTCCCTGATGTCCTCGGGGCTTGGTCACCCCTGGGCAGCCCCTCACGGGCTGCTCTGGCTTTTTGAACACCAGTCCCAGTGCTGCTTAGACTTCTGTTGAACTTGGGCTGAACTTGTGTCTCGGCAGCATCTGCTCTGTGACTTTCACTTTTAAACACCAAAAGGACCAATTACTTGAGCCTCAACTAGTGGTTTCTAATTAATTGAGGCGTTAGCATGAAGGTAGGTGTTTATCTAAAGGGTAAAGTACTGTGACGGGGGAAAAGCTGTAAAGATGGAAGGCATAATATACTTTAGCCGCTGGGTTGCCTGGGACTTCCCTCCCCGCCCCCCACCCCCACCCCCGCCAAAGCCCTTAATCTCTATTGGAGATTCTGATCTAGAAAGACGGTACTGTAGGGGCGCCTGGGTGGCTTAGTCGGTTAAGCGTCCGACTTTCGCTTAGGTCATGATCTTGCGGTTCGTGGGTTCGGGCCCCGCGTCGGGCTCTGTGCTGACTGCCAGCTCAGAGCCTGGAGCCTGTTTCAGTCTGTGACTCTCTCTCTCTCTGACCCTCCCCTGCTCACGCTGTCTCTCTCTCTCTCTCTCCTAGAAATAAATTAAAAAAAAAAACTTAATAAAAAAAATTTTTAGAAAGACGGTGCTGTAGTAAATTCCTAGACCTGAAATTGTGTGGGCACAGGGGACATGCATTTGTAATTTTGGTGGATATTGATAAAATGTCCCAACTTGCCCTTCTCCATCCCCTTCCTCACAGAAGGAGTGAGAGCCCTCAGCAGCAAGAGGAGATGTTTACCCTAGTCCCTGTCCCTTTCCCTGACCAGCCACCTTGCCAGGGCAGGAATGTAACGTGGGGCAAGTTTTCTTCACCTGCCTTATCCCCAGCTCTTCCTGACTTCTGCTGGCCCTGCTCTTCCCCTCGGGCGGGTGAAACTCCGATTAGGAGTTATTGTGGGAAGTCTAGATGGGCGGACTTTGGAACCGTCCTGGGACAGTTAGCCTCTTGGAGTCTCAGTTTCCTCATCTCTAAAATAGAAGCGGGGTGCCTGGGTGCTCAGTGGATTGAGTGTCTAACTCTTGATTTCAGCTCAGGTCATGATCCCAGGGGGTGAGATCGAGCCTGTCTGTGTTGGGCTCTGCTGGAGCCTGCTTGGGATTCTCTCCCTTCCCTTTCTCCACTGTTTCTTTCAAATAAACTTAAAATAAAATAAAAAATAAAATAAAATAAAATATGGGTAATAGTACCTCCCTCCGTGGGGAGGGCAAGAGGATTCTGGGAAATCATGCATATAAGGCCTTTGTGACATGCCTCACCTTTATCAAGCGTTAAGTCAATGTTGGCTATTGACGATGGTGATGATGGGCTCTCCCAAGGAAGGGAGAAGGCTAAGGGCGTGGGAGGTGGCAGTGACCCCCCCCTTTTACAGTTGGCTGAGGTTAGTGTGAGGGTGGTGGCAGGACCGCCCACCTCAGAGGTGGTCCTTCCCAGACCCTGTTGAGACCAGTGGTGGTGGCAGTGTCACCGGCTGACCGTGGCAGAGGCTGTGTGGGAGGTGAAAGTTGCTTCTAGGGGTGTGAATATATTGTCTCATTAAAGAAATTGGCTGAGCAGGAAGTGTGTGTGTCTGTCGGTTGAATGAGCAGAAGAGGACTGTGAACAGGTTGAGAAGCTGAGAACTTGAACTTCCCGGCTGCCCACTTGAACTAAGTTTTCACCATGTGTGGTTTTTAAAAGAGGTATTTCACGTTCTTATCCAGAGTCTAGTCAGTACAAACAAATAAACAAAACTATTGTTAAAATAAACATTAACGGTATCGCCGAGCAGCCGGGTTGTGGGAGGAGCCGTTACGGGAGCTGACGGAGATGACAGCCTCCCAGAAGCATGGAGACCTCGTGGCCGAGCCCATGGGGTGTGAAAACCAGTGGGTGCCTGCTTGGGATTGGTGAAGTCTTGGGCAAGAAGCTGGAGGAAAGGGGCTTTGACAAGGCCTACGTGGTCCTTGGCCACTTCCTGGTGCTAAAGAAAGAAGAAGATCTCATCGGAGAACTGCCGAAGGACACATGCAGTGCCGATGCCAAGCAGTCCCTGCGCTGCTTCGGGTGCCTTCGAGAGTGAGGCGATGCCTTCTCGTGAGACTCTCTGGGGAGCCCCCCGCCCCGGCATGGAGTCCCCGTCCTCCACAGAGGAAGAGATTGCAGTTGTCCTGCTCAGCCTCTCATGTACTTCTAGGTCTTCTGGGAGTTCTCTCCCCTCACCGTTGCAACTTTTCTGAAACTCTCGCTCTTGCACGCATCTCCCTTCTCCTTCCCCTGCCGGTTTCCTGTCACAGTTCTGAGCTCCTCCGAGTGGCTTCGTGGGCCTTCCCAGACCCCACTCCCACCCCCACCTCTGGTCTGTTTTATGCTCTTTGGCTCTTTTTTTTGGCAAAAAAATCACTGTCCTTGTAAATTTTTTTAAATCAATAAAGTCAGTGGCCTTCAAAAAAAAAAAGGTATTGATGAAAAATGTCCAGCTGATATATGCTTGTTTTTTTTTTAACCTCAAATAGCAAGCAAATGTCTAGTTTGGGGATGGCGTTTTGCTTAATATCATGTGACAGATCTGTGATTAATCTGATGTGTTAAAGAATACTGATTCTGATGTGTTTAGTGAGAGGAATAATCAAATTCATTATTGTCTTCTGAAGCAGCTGCAAACTTAGTCTCCTTGAAAAACTAATATATAAATCACGTCTCTGCATTATCAGAAATGAGTTTCATTCCCACATCTCTCTGAGTTGAGAGGAATCTGTGTGTTAAGCCTGTTTCCAACAGCAAGACTGGGAGTCTTATTCATCTTTGAATTCCCTTTGGTGTTGTGCTTGCAGAAGATCGAAAGTGAATGAATATTTTCTACAAATGTAGAAAAATAATTTAAATTCCCAGTCAGCATGCGATTTAGTGATTGCAATTAAATGTAATACTTGTAGCACATAAGACAAAAGGCTAATTTCCTTAATTTACAAAGAGCTCTGACAATTCAGTAAAAAATGCAAATATAGGCAACGGATATGAACAGGCAGTTGGAAGACAAACTTAGACAAATTGCCATTAAACGTGAAAATAGATGATCGTCCTCATTTATAATTAAATAAAGGCACTTCAAAAACATGAGATGCCATTTTAAACTCATCAGTCTGGCAAAAGTGAAAAACTTTAATGCTCATTATTGGTAGTTATGGGAGGAATAGGCACTTCATGTGCCTCTGGGGAGGGAGCCGCTGTGGCCTTTGGGACGTAATTTGGCATGATCAGTGGAAATGAAACCATGATCCTAGCAAAGTCCTCTGCTTGGAGGAAACATGGTTCTATAAATTTTTTCCTGTTTAGGGTATCAGTTGGGGCCTGGTTGAATGCATTGTGACACAGCCTTCCATGTCAGAAGTCAGAAAAGATAATGAAGTAGATGAATTTGTGCTTCTATGGAAAGATTTTAGGGTATATTAAATACAGTTTTGTTTTTTTTTATTTTTAAAGCAGGGGACAGGGGCACCTTGGTGGCTCAGTTCGTTAAGCGTCAGACTCTTGATTTCGGCTCAGGTCATGATCTCATGGTTCCAGGAGTTTGAGCCCCACATGGAGCTCTGTGCTGACGGTGCAGAGTCTGCTTGGGATTCATTCTCTCTTTCTCTCTCTCTCTCTCTCTCAGAATGAATGAATGAATAAATAAATGAATGAATGAATGTATGTCAGGGTACAGAACAGTTTACACTGATACGCGTTTATAATTTTCTATGGAAGAACACTGAAAACCCTTTGCGGTGGTTATCTTTGCAAAGAGGATCAGGGGGAAGAGTTTTGCTATTCCTTTTATGTTTTTCTGTACTAGGATTTGAAGTTTGACCGTGTGCATATATCTTATTTTAAAGATAAAATTACTGAAGGATTGACCTAAGACCTAACTTAGGTGTAGACCAACTGGCACTCTCTGCCAGTTGGGAGGAATCAAGACCTACCAAAAACCAGTGAGTAGCCCACATTGGGAAACTGCTGATGGAGAGGAGCCGAACTTGATCATCGTTGAACTTGATCATCTCTTGAAGAGGTTCTGACTTGTTTTACCTCAGGACCACTAGACCTGACAAATCGGGTCATTGGATGTAGAACTGGTGATCATTTGTGCCTTTTATTCCTTTTAGCTTGGTGACGTGCCTAGGCCTGAAATTACCCGTAAATTCCCCGTGTGTCAGACTTTTAGAAGCCTCTTACTCCAGAGTGTTGCTTGTTAGCAGGTTTAAGCAGAGGGCTTTGAATCTCATTGTCGTGGCCAGAAGGAGGTGTTAATGTAAAGGAGGGGAGAGTGAAGCACTTCCTTTCTCATTTGCAGAAAAATGGAATCCCTCTCTTAGGTGTTAATCATGGTCTTTGGTTTTTCTCTCCAGTGATTTTCTTTCCAGCCTAAGATTTTCTTTCAAGTGAAGCCTCACTGTGAAGCTGTTTTCAGTTTTAGACTGTTTCGGAAATGCTTGTTTTCCGTTTTCCACTGGTGTTTGCCCAGGACTCTGCACCTTGAAAAAGCCTGAGCCCACTTTCCCTTTGCCCTTGAATTCCCAGCGTCACCATTTACATACCCTTGTGTCATGACCATGCTATAAAGCATAGGTAACATTTGACCACTAGGTAGGTGCCAGGCGGTATCTGCATCTCCAGAAGGCAGTCTGATGTAGTCAGGGTCACGACTTCTGGAGTCAGACTAGGTTCATCTTTTAACTGTGGGACAGTATCTTAACTGTCCGTTATCTTATCTTATCTTGGCAGTATCTTCACTGCTTTTCTTCAATTTCTTCATCTACAAATTAGAAACAATGATAGTATTTCCCTCACAGAGTTGGTAAAAGGATCAAATTAATACATATAAGGTGTTTAGCACAAGGTAAACACGCGTGTGTAAGCTTTTATACAGGTTCTTTGCATGAGTTTCCCCCATTTAATCATTACAGCATTTCTGTTTGGGTAGTCGTCATTCTGGGACCTTTTCTAGATAGGATATCAAAGTTAACTGACTTGTCCAAGGCCACATAGCTATTTAAACATTCATTGTTATTATTTTTATTAGAAAGTGGCAGAGGCAGTATTCATACCCAGGTCTGCCTTCAAAGCCAGTTCTCTTTGTGGCCCCTGTCCCCCTAAAAAACGTCTTATAGAGCAAACGGTGAGGTGACCGCGGTGGGCCAGGCGGCCACTGTGCTGAATGCTTCCTGCTTCTGTGTACTTGTCCCGCGGAGCCGCGAGGCAAGGACTGTCGTCATTCCCATTTTCGAGGCAAGAGAACTGACCCTTTAAAAGAAAAGCTCCTTGCTCAGAGTTTTGTAGGTGGAAAGTAGGTATCGTTTGAACCCAGATCTGACTTCAGATTCGCACCCTTGACAGTTCTATTGTGATATTTTCCTATCTTTTACAGTTGGGTGAGGTGTCTTAAGGTTTTTTTTTTTTTTAATGTTGCTTGTTTTTAACGACATATTCAGATAGTTTAGAAAAGTGTCTAGAAAGATCCACTGAAAACTGGTAGGGCTCCCAGCTGCCCCGCCCTTCTCCCAGGAGGCAGTAGAGGTTATTTTTTGTCGAGCATCATTCCAGAAGTAGTCTGTGCACACTTAACAGTGTGTGCATATTGACACAGCAGTGGGTGTCTTCACAGTGCCTTGTTCAAAAGACACGTATACTCTTCTGCACCTCGCCCTTTCCCTTGAGCAGTGTACCGTGGTGATTATTTCATGTCCATGTGCAAAGAGCGTCTTCGTTTGTTGTTTGCTGGTTGAGGAGTAGTCGTAAGTGTGGATGTCCTGTGAGTTATTAACCACGCTCCTCTAATTGGGCACCTAGTCAGTGTCGGATCTTTTGTCATTCTGTCCAGCGCTGTAGTAAATGCCTAGGGCACACGGGGGACATGCGTTTGTAATTTCGATGGCCATCACTGAAATGCCTCCAGTATTTGCTCATTTTACACTCCACCACCAGCAGCTGTCAAATTGTCATCTGGCAGGGATTTGAAAATGTTGTTTATTTTACTTTGTTTGTCATTCCAAGCAATAAACGTTCACTGTTAGAAGTTTGGAAAACACAGGAAAGTTCAAAAAGGAAAGTAAAAACATTTTGAATCTGGGGCGCCTGGGTGGCTCTGTCCTTGAAGCATCTGACTTCTGCTCAGGTCATGATCTCACCGTTCATGAGATCGAGCCCCACATCAGGCTTGCTGCTGTCAGTGCAGAGCCTGCTTCAGATCATCTGTCCCCCTCTCTGCCTGTCCCCCGCTCATGTGCTTTCTCTCTAAAGAGTAAATAAGCATTTAAAAAAAGAAAAAGGAAAAAAACATTTTGAATCTTACATTAATGTGTGCATTTTGTATATATCTCTCAGTGTTATTTCTATGTATATTAATATCTGCATATACACAATTTATAAACATTTTCTTTTGCTGTTACCTGATTATGTTAACAGCTTTACTGAGGTACAGCTTACGTATCCGAGAATTTGGTCATCTCATGTGTATAATTCAGTGGTTTTTAATAAATTTATGACATTGTACAGCTATTACCATAACCCAGTTGTAGACCATTTCCGTCACCCATGAAGATCCCTCATGTTCATTTGCAGTCAATTTGTTACTTAATTCTTTGCTGTATTATCAAATATTCATTCAGCAGATATTTATTGAGTATCTGCTATGTGCCAGGCAGTTAATCTGGGTGCTAGTTAATAAAAGAGATAAAAATCTTTGCCCTGGTGGGCTTTCATTTTGTAGAGCTAACTTTATAGTCTTCCTTCCCATCAGTTTTATCATGACTGAGTACTCAGTACATAGGTGTGCTACATGTTAACAGCTCCTGAGAAGTCGGACATTTAGGTTGTTTTCATTGTTTTGCTGTTGTAATTGGACAGACTTATGGATAAGTTCTTGTGCCTATATCCATGATTTTTGTTACCGCAGCGTGCTGAGTCAAGAGGAATGCGTGTCTGTGAGGCTTTTGTCCTGTGTAGTATACGAGGGCACCGAGTCCCTGTAGCACCGCCACCTGGGTCATTTTTAAATCTTGCCAGTGTGAGAAAGGTGTGTCTCATATTGATTTTTATTTGTTCACTGATGAAGTTTACCACTTTATCTCTGTTTAAAGGCTATTTTAATTAAAAAAAATTTTTTTTAAACATTTATTTATTTTTGAGATACAGAGAGACAGAGCACAAGCAGAGGAGGGGCAGAGAGAGAGGGAGGCACAGAATCTGAAGCAGACTCCAGGCTCTGAGCTGTCAGCACAGAGCCCAATGTGAGACTCGAACCCATGAACCATGAGATCATGACCTGAACTGAAGTCAGACACTCAACTGAGTGAGCCCTTCATGTGCCCCAAGGCTATTTTAATGTTTTTAAAAATCATCTTTGTTCATTTTTCAATTGTATATTTGTTTTTATTGATTTGTAAGAGTGTTATACTTCTTGGCTGTATGTGTTGTAAGTATATTTCATAATTTGTCTTTTGTTCATTTGGTTTTAGTCAAAAAAAATTTTTTTTTAATTTTTAAAATTTATTTTGAGAAGGTGAGGAAAGGACAAAGAAAGAGGAAGAGAGAGAATCTCAAGCAGGGGCTTGAACTCACAAATCGTGAGATCATGACCTGAGCCAAAATCAAGAGTCAGATCTTAACCAACTGAGCCACCTAGGCACCCTGAAGGTATTTTATAGATGTATAAAAATTCTTATATAGTTAAATCTCTGTTTCTTCCTCTGGTATCTGCCTTTGTATGCTTAGTAAGACCTTCTCTAGGAGTTATTTCTGAGTACATGGTAAGGAAGGGATCTAACTTTATTATTCTATATTCATATTATCCAAGCAGCCTCTATTTCAAAAAGTCTTCCTTTTTAACTGATTGGAAATGGCCCACAAAGCCCATCCTGGTCCAGCTTCCACCCACCTTGACAGCCTCATGTGTCCTCTGTCCTTCCCCTTGCTCGTTGTCCCAGTTGTCCCACATTCTCTAAGGTTTCTTTCCTTCCCACTCAGGAAGGACAAGTCTCTGTGTGTGTCATTCCTTCAGTCTGGAAGACTGGGCCATTTCCCTGCAGCCAGCGCCCCTGCCCAATATGAAAGATCTCATAGCTCTTGTCATAATTTATAACAAGACACTTACAGCTCCCCTGGACCCCTAGCACCGGGCACATAGAAGGCAGTACATATTTAGAGTGAATGAATTATAGCCTAATCCTGCATTTCAACATCTAGATGTTTAGCTGGGGTTTTTGTTGTTGTTGTTATTTTCTAAAATTTCTTCAGTGTTTACTCTAGATCTACACCGTCCAACGTGGTAGCCACTGGCCACATGTGGCTATTGAGCACCTAAATGTGGTTGTTCCAAATTGAGACGTGCTGTAAGCGTAACATATAGGTCAGATTTCAAAGAGTTAGTATGAAAAAAGAATGTAAAATGCCTCGTTAATAACTTTCTAATATTGACTATACGTTGAGAATGTTTTAAATGTTAGGTTAAGTAAAAATGTATAAAAATTTAATAATGTTTGGTTTTAAACAATGCTAACTGCTAGAAAACACTACATGTGGCTGGAATTATCTTTCTGTTGGACAGCAGTGTTCTAGATGGATTGTAACATCAGTTTGTGAAGTTACTAAGAAGGTTCTTCATTGGGGCACATTATATTTATAAGTTAATTTTGGGGGAAAGTGTCTATAGTATTGAATCTTTCAGAAGCTTGGTGTGTACCTTCATATACATGTGTCTTTGTCCTTACCAAAATGTTACACTTTTCTTCTTGTAGATCCTGACTGTTTTTTGTTTAGCCCCCAGGTATATTATAATTTCTGTTACTATTGTTGGTTGCAATTTGTCATTATCTTACTTAACCTGTGTTTTATGTACAATAATTTATGAAACACTCCATTTCCTAGATCCTGCCTCGACCAGATTTGTTTCAGTGGTTCCCTTGTGTTTTCTGTGTAAATAGTCCTGTCTGTCTTGAAGAGTAACTTCACCTCCTCTTTTCTAATGGCTTTGTGCCTTAATTTTCTCTTGCCTGTTGCTTTTGCCAGAACTTCCAGAACAGTGTTAAGTAAGAGAAGTGATGGGCAGACAACCATGTGTCCTCCCAGGCACTCATGGGAATGCCCTTACAAAAAGTGTTTACCAAAGTGTGCACCAGGGAACACTAATTCTTGGGAGTGTTTACATGTGTACTTTGGGAGAAGAGTTACACGCTGAAATGAGCGTACATACCACTGAGTTAAATAGAATTCTTGTCTGCAGGACTTTTCAGGTGGGTTATTATGCTAATATGTATATTTTTTTAATTCCTGGGAGGTGGGGATATTGACACTAGCTCATGGGTTTGTGTTCCACTGAATACCTTTTGGGAAATGCAGATATAATGTTTCCTTCCTAAGGATGATGTTGCCATTGGTTGGCAGTAGGTACCATTTATTATTATTAAGAAAGTATATTATATGAGGAGAGTATTAATAAAATAGCTTCTTCATATTTTTTCCTTACTTAGAAAAGGCATTTAACTCTCTAAAATCCATGTTTGGCATAGTTTTGATTTGGTTGTGTGATTTGGTTGGTCCTTTGATTTACTGATGTGGCAGATTATATATTTCCTAACATGTAATCATCCTTACATTTGGTCACATATATTATTTTTCAATAGGTTATATTTCCGAGGATTTCCTCGAGGACTTTAAAATCTGTTTACTTAGGTAAAGTTGACAGTTGTCTTCTTGATCCTGTTCACCATCTTCTGGTATCAGATTTACACCATATAAATGGAGTTGCTTTAATTTTTTTTTTTTTTTTTGAGATGTCTTAAATGTTTTAACATGCATCTAAAACAGTGTGAACGGCCTGAAGATCATTTATGCTTTGGCACTTCTGCTTCTTTTTGTTTAATTCTGCCAATTTATGTTATTCTAAAAATAATGTCCTTTCCGTACAGATTTCAAATTGATTTCAGTCATAACTCTAGGATAAATAAGGGCACAGTATTCCTTCTTAACTAAAATGTTTCAACTCAGATTCTGACATGAGAAGAAAAGACTGATGTGATCTGGTCACAGTTACTCGTTGATCCTTTCCTGCAGGAGTCATTTAATTGCACGTTGTCATGTACGTATGGGTATGGCCGTGTGGTTTTTTTCTCCTTGGACTTATTGATGTAGCAGATTGTATTTATGTATTTCCTAACAATAGCCGTCCTTAAATTTGGCCACGCTATATTACTCTTTTAATAGGTTATATTTCTGAGGATTTCCTTATAATTTTGAAATTTTTAAAAAACTTTCTCAGTGGGGCGCCTGGGTGGCTCAGTCGGTTGAGCGTCCAACTTTCGCTTAGGTCATGATCTCGCGGTTCGTGGGTTCGAGCCCCGCGTCGGGCTCTGTGCTGACTGCCGGCTCGGAGCCTGGAGCCTGTTTCAGTCTGTGACTCCCTCTCTCTCTGACCCTCCCCTGCTCACGCTGTCTCTCTCTCTCTCTCTCCTACAAATAAATAAAACATTAAAAAAAAAAAAACTTTCTCAGTGATTATATGCTGTTCTGTGTTCTTACTCTTTTGCTTTCTTTGGGTTTAATTTCCTTTTCTGACCTCTTCAGTGGTTTCATTTATTTTTATTCTTTGTTGTTTAATGGTAAATACTTTAAAGGGGCGCCTGGGTGGCTCAGATGGTGGAGTGTCCAACTTCAGCCGGATCATGATCTCATGGTTCATGAGTTTGAGCCCCGTGTTGGGTTCTGCTGACAGCTCAGAGCCTGGAGCCTGCTTTGGATTCTGTGTCTCCCTCTCTCTCTCTACCTCTGCCCTTCTTGCTCGCTGTCTCTCTCTCTCTCTCTCTCTCTGTCAAAAATAAACAAACATTAAAAAAATAAGTAAATTTTGGAAAAAATGATAAATACTTTTAAGACACTGACTTTCCCTATTAAAATTCGTTGTTGTTTCAAAATTGTCAACACTTTGTTCTGAAAAATTTCAAATATACAGAAAAGTTGGATTTTGCAGTAAACACCTGTATACACCCACCATCTGTACTCTATGCTTGTTAACATATTATTGTGTTTGCTTTAACACCTATCTATCCATGTCTTTTTTGGGATGCATTTTCAAGCAAGTTGAAGACATAAGTAAATTTTACTCCTAAACCCTTCTTGCTGCAGATTTGATGTGAGTTTTCTTTTTTTTCTAAATAGTTTTATTCCTTTCTGATCTTCTCTTGGATTCAGTGCTTATTCAGGAGGCACTTACATTTTAATTGGTTGGGTTTTAAGCACTAAAATATAATTGTTAGATCTGATTTTGTCACCTTTGGGTTAGAGCGTGCAGCCTGGGCTGTAGACACTTACCCATTTGTGAATGATTCGGTGCTGAGAATCTTGGCAAGGGCAGACAGCTGGTCGCTGGGTGTGCCTGCAGCGGGAGCACGGTTGGACAGCACTTGCTTACGATCTGTCCGTCACTCTTGTTGTTCCTCCCGTCTATAACTCTTCACTGAAACGGATTGAGCATTGCTCTGTCCGTTACCAACCCAAAAGGATTTAAAGGTGTGCAGACCTGAAGGGGAAAAAATGCACATCAAGACAACAACTCAAATTCTAAACTAAAAAGGGCTTAGCTTCATTCAGTGTATCCAGTGCGCTGTGTGCTTGAAAAACACCAATTGGAAACATACAAATAAGACAGAACACTCTTTAGATGAGTTTGCTTATTTTTTTACAACATATTCCAGATCTTCCAGATCCTCAGAAGTAAGCAAAACGGAAATATTTTTTCTTGAGCTAAAAAGGACCTGACATATATAACATGTGATAATTTTGATGAAGATGAATGGTCGGCAGTTGGGGCACTGACTGATTGATCTTTAGGTTATCTGACTTTAGGGGAGTTAACCAAGACATGAAAGACTGAAAATAAGTAAGAGGAAGAATGCTCAGGCTGACCCTCAGGCGGCATGGTAGCGGTAGTGGTGGTGGTGGTAGTGGTGGTGGTGGTGGTGATGGTGGTGTTATATTCGCAAGCTTGTACTTAGTGAGGAGTCACTGGTGAATTATGAAACTCTCTCTTTCTGCAGATTACGCTTCATGTCAGTAGAAATGGACAGCAGCAGTTTTATTCAGTTTGATGTGCCCGAGTACAGCAGCACTGTTCTGAGCCAGCTAAACGAACTCCGCCTGCAAGGGAAACTATGTGACATCATTGTCCACATTCAGGGTCAGCCATTCCGAGCCCACAAAGCAGTCCTCGCTGCCAGCTCCCCCTATTTCCGGGACCATTCAGCATTAAGTACCATGAGTGGCTTGTCAATATCTGTGATTAAAAATCCCAATGTGTTTGAACAGTTGCTTTCATTTTGTTACACTGGAAGAATGTCCTTGCAGCTGAAGGATGTTGTCAGTTTTCTGACTGCCGCCAGCTTTCTTCAGATGCAGTGTGTCATTGACAAGTGCACGCAGATCCTGGAGAGCATCCATTCAAAAATCAGCGTTGGAGATGTAGACTCTGTTACTGTCGGTGCTGAGGAGACGGCAGAGAGTCGCAATGGAGTTAAGGACAGCAGCTTCTTTGCCAACCCGGTTGAGATCTCCCCTCCGTATTGCTCTCAGGTACGGCAGCCCACCACGAGCAGCGATCTTCGGATGGAGACGACGCCCAGCAAAGCTTTGCGCAGCCGCTTACAGGAGGAAGGGCACTCGGACCGAGGGAGCAGTGGGAGCGTTTCCGAGTATGAGATTCAGATAGAGGGGGACCATGAGCAGGGAGACCTGTTGGTGAGGGAGAGCCAGATCACTGAGGTGAAAGTGAAGATGGAGAAGTCTGACCGGCCCAGCTGTTCCGACAGCTCCTCCCTGGGGGACGACGGGTACCACACAGAGATGGTGGACGGGGAACAGGTTGTGGCAGTGAATGTGGGGTCCTACGGTTCTGTGCTGCAGCACGCGTATTCCTACTCGCAGGCGGCCTCCCAGCCAGCCAGCGTATCTGACGCCTTTGGAAGTTTGAGTAATTCCAGCCCATCCAGATCCATGCTGAGCTGTTTCCGAGGAGGGCGTGCTCGCCAAAAGCGGGCTTTGTCTGTCCATCTGCACAGTGATCTACAGGGCTTGGTGCAGGGTTCTGATAGCGAAGCGATGATGAATAACCCCGGGTATGAGAGCAGTCCCCGGGAGAGGAGTGCAAGAGGGCACTGGTACCCGTACAATGAGAGGTTGATCTGTATTTACTGTGGAAAGTCCTTCAACCAGAAAGGAAGCCTCGACAGGCACATGCGGCTCCATATGGGAATCACCCCCTTTGTGTGCAAGTTCTGCGGGAAGAAGTACACACGCAAGGACCAACTGGAGTACCACATCCGGGGCCATACCGACGACAAACCATTCCGCTGTGAGATCTGCGGCAAGTGCTTTCCATTCCAAGGTACCCTCAACCAGCACCTGCGGAAAAACCACCCCGGCGTAGCCGAAGTCAGGAGTCGCATCGAGTCCCCCGAGAGAACAGACGTGTACGTGGAACAGAAACTAGAAAATGATGCGTCGGCCTCAGAGATGGGCCTAGATTCCCGGATGGAAATTCACACGGTGTCTGATGCTCCTGATTAAGATGGTAACGAAGCGCACCCAAACAAAGCACATTAATCAATGCATATTTGTGATTTGCTTTGTTGTAATCTTTGGTTTTCCCAACCATCTGGAAATCTCTCCGTCTCTTGGCAGTTTTTCTAAGGTTTCTGGAAGGAACACTTCATTGTGTTTATCCTTTCCCCCGCCCTCCCTCTCCCAAGGAGCTCAAAGCATGAAGGGCAACGTATCCAGGGAAAACACAGGCTGACAGTATTCCTCTTTGGCTGAACTCTTAATCCAAAATCTGCCAGTGATTTAGCTATGCCAACTGGTTGACCCTACATTCTCTGCCAAGAGGCATACTCTCTCGTGGTGTGCACTGGCACCAGTGCGTTTCCACGGAGAGAGACTAGGATGCCGTCAGCTGATACAAATGGGTAACCTTTTCTAATTTAAAATTACTTTTAAGGGGTAGTTAGACAATTTATATATATATATAATAAAGCGATTATTATATATATAGTATATATACATTCTCAAATTTGATTTTATTCTGGTTGAGGTGAATGTAAGAGGAATATATTATTTAATACAATGTGAACAGGGCTTTTGACTCTGTCTCGTCCCCACCCAATGTTAGGGTTTTGCCCCTTTATTTCCCTTACAAAAGAATGTTAATAGGTTTTCATATATATTAATCATTGTGTCCAAAAGCAAGCAAAGCAAATCACAGTGTTCATAGCTCTGCTTCCTAACAAGTACATAAACCAAATGCCATAAAATGTATTCAACTCTAGTTGGAAACCGTTTGGAATTTTTGTTTGTCGTCCAGTAGGTAAGCTGGATGACCCGTGGTGCTGACCTTTTTACATATTGTAGTGTTCTATTAGCCGGCCCCAAAGGAGCGGTGGTTTTCAATGTTTGTACTGGCCTCCGAATCTACCTTCATTCCGTACTGTAGAAACATACCAGGTAACTAAATCGAATCACTCTACCATGAGTTAGTACTCGCACTAAAGGAAAGGGATTTGTAGTTCAGTCTACAAAATTCTCCAAGCAGTGTTGTGGGATTTTTTTTTTCCTCTTTTCAAACAGCTAGTTCAGGTGCACAGCAACTTTTTCTACATGCAGTTCCCAGGGAAACTGCAGAACTTGGAATTTGTACTTTTTGTAAAGATATACTCTATGGGAATTGCAAGCAATATATCTCTATCTTAAGTATTGTGTGTGCTAACGAGAGCCTCGGTGGCTCCCCCACTCTTAGTGTTTCCTGCTTCAAGAAACTAACAGTCAAAAAGCCCTCTAAGATACTCTGTGTGTCACCAAATCTGTGTGTGTCACCATTTTTTTGGGTCACGTGGTGCTATTTTTATGTTATGTATCTTTTAGGTCAGTATAGTTGTAGAAAATGTGAAATCTAACGGTAATAGTGAATTACAAGTTTTGTTTTTTTTCCCTCTCCTGAGTTTATAGCTTGAAAAGAGACCTCAAAAGCATGTGCTGGCAAACACTTTACTGTATCAAACATACCTGAGTCCTATTTGAGAAAACGTTTTATCGGGACTTCAGGAAGTGTCTTAAGCTCTATATTTTGTTTACCCGTGTGCTTCTAGTGAACAAAACGGGCTTTACAAATTCGCTTTGGTACTGTGTACCCTGACAGAGTAATTTCGGAAACGATTTGATGGTGAGTTTGGGCTGCCGGCCTCCCTGCCCGCTGGATGTCAGCACCCCGGACTCCCCAGTGGGGAACCTTGGCTCGGAAGCTCGCAGCCAGTCCTGGCTCCACAGGAGAACGGCCCAAACCACCTAAAAGAAAAATAGACACAAAAAGGCACAACTTCAGAGGCTTAGGACTTAAAGGAATACAGAAATAGACGTTTGCTGGTTTTCCATGCTTTTCTGGCTCTTAAAATACCAAGAATGGTGGGAGGAGGGAACGGGGGGGGGGGCGGGGAGTGTTTGGGGGAGGTTTTCGTTTTTTTTGTTTTTGTGTTTGCTTTTGTTTTTGTTTTTGAGAAAAGAAAATCATTCGGGCCCTTGTGTGTGATAGCCCCCGGGGGTGGTAATGTGCAGTAGCATGTCTCTAGCACACAGGATCTATCTGTTCACGCGTGAACGGCTGCGCTACACATCAGTGTTACTACGTACAGATTACACTCTAGTCCTGCTGCTCCCGAGGAGCAGCTTTTGCTAAATCGGGTATATAGTATGCCTTTTCCTGTCAAACTGCCTAAGCAAGGGGTGCGCGCTCTCCCTGAAGCACTTGCTCAACTCCTGTCAAAGCTGCGTGCCTCAAGGGGAGGCTGGACCCCCAGTGTTTACCCACTTAAATATGTTCTGGGGTTTCAGGTAAATGTTTGTGATTTTTTTTTTTCCTTACACGAATACGTTGGGTTTTGATTTTTCTTTTAAGAATTAAATGCAAAAAATTTGTGTGGTGATAACAAGTTAAGTTTGTGACAAGAAACGCCCAAATGGAGGACATGAGAGGTCAGGCTCAGGGAAGGAACACCTCCTTTTCACTCAGGCTTGGGGCCTCCTGAGAGGTTTCCAGAGCATTCCGCGATAGATGAGACAAGTCAGGAGGGGAGAGCACTTGGGGCAGGTACCTCGAATATCCTGGTTCTTGTCACCGTTGTCGGTCTTAACCTTATTTACATGGAGTTGTTTGTATTTGTCAATTTGTTTCACTGGTTTGAGTTTACCAAAGAGTGACTTATCCAAAATTGTCTTTGACAAAACTATACATTGCTTTGATTGTACAGTTCAGGTTCAACCATTGTAATGGGACTGTTAAGGGGCAGAAAATTGATTGAGTTTCTCTCTAATAACCGTGATTCCACATTTCGCAAGTTCCACTTGCTCCCATTCACGTTGCTAACACTTTACCCTTTCCACTGCTAGCAGTGTTAAGAATGAATTCTCAAGCCATAACCCAGTACTGTAAGGTTCCACACGGCTTCGAGGAGGCAGCGCGTAGGCCAGCGCCGAGCCGGGCAGCCTCTCTGAGCGAGCACGCGGCCGTGTTTCTCGGCGCGCGTGGCGGGTGGAAGGTTGACTCCATTCAGATCGGGCAGCAGCAATTAATTGTGCCTTGTCACAGGAGGGTGTGCCAGGAGGATTAACGCGGCCACAGAACAGAAACATCCTCTCCCCGAAGTTCCCTCCGCGTCTCCGCAGACGAAGTACGCTGTGTAACTCCTTAGAGCAACTCTTTTTTGGAACGCAAAGTCCCTATCTCTGTACAGGTTTAGGTTAGATATTTCGTTTCTAACAGATGCAAAAATCAGTTCAGATAAAAGCGATATGTGAAGAAGTCTTTTACAGCAAAACATATCCTGAATTCATACAGGTCTGTTCATAATTGAGTCTCTCCTTGAGCTACCTTTTCAAATACGTAGACAATGTGAAGACCACGACAGCGTCCTTTTCTATAGGTGTTTAACCTGCTATTACAAACTGTGAAAACAAAGAATTTTATACTTTACTAACGTTTGTGGGTTTTAAACAGTTCCTTTCGTTCTGAGCAGTTCTCTCCCCTCTAATTTCTACTAAAGCTGTACATACATTTAGAAATTATATTTGTAAATACAGCGCACGAAGACAAGTTCATTTTTTGGTCAGTGGAAAGCCTCCCAATTGGCCCTGCCTCGGCAGTTTTGGTTTTTTGTGTGCGTGTGCCTGCGTGCGCGTGCGCGTGCGTGTGCGTGTGTGTGGTTGGTTTTGTTGTTTGGGTTTTTTTTTTTTTTCTTTTTAACAGCAGAAAGGATACTGTCAGTTCACTGTTAAGCAGAATATACTGTAGAACTAAATTGATAATTTTTCACTCGTCCAGAGCATGAGTAGATGTCTTTTCTCATGACAGCAGTTATAACCAAGTCTTTGGTTTTTTTCCCATAGCCCAGACCACAGGCCTGCGTATGTTCGTGTGCGATTTTGTTTTTTTTACTTTTCTTTTTACAGCCTAGACTCTAGGAAGAATTTGCAGGAACACAAAACAAGGGCTGGGGGGCGGGGGGGTGGGAATCATCTCTGTGAATGAGCTTTACTTTAAAGAAATCAACGTATTTTATTTTAACAACCTTTTTCTATTAGTTAACTGTGATTTTTGTTGTCGTCTTTGTTATTGTTAAATTCTGTAATGGTTTCCTGTGAAGCCTCCACTGAAAGGGACTCAAATATGCAACACCTAAACTATTTTCCAAGGGCACACGCCCCTTGAATGGTGCTTCTAGACTGGTCAGGGTTATTTATTAAATTTTATATATGAAAGTATTGGGGAATTATGTAAATTCTTTATATGGAACTATCTAGTTCATAAATCATAGATTTCATATTACTCAGTGCAACTGAACTGAACGTTCAGGAGAGTCATTCACATTGTTCCCAATTTGTAATGGTTGTCACACGCCACACATGTCTTCTTCAGTAAGTGCCAGAGCGCTCCCGCTGTTTCTGCCCGGGGCCCGACCTCTCGGCCCGGCCCGGAAGAGGACCCTGTTTGCCCCGGCCCCCCTCTGGGGCTGCCCAGACGGCAGGGCAGGGCTTCCGTAGTTCTCGCTCCGGCCCTGGAGTGAGTAAGCCTCGCAGCAGATTCAGTAGCCAGACCTCTTGCTGCCCCTCGGTGACGAGTATGCTGTGAATTCAACCTTCGGACTTGCCGCCCAAGCCCTTGGTTGCTGCCCTGACTGTAGTAAGAGGTAAACGTACCTGGTTTCTTTGAGAACGACCATTTTCCTAATGTGAAAACCATCTCTCTCACCACTTGTATTAGTAGGGCTAACATTTTTTTCCGTTATAAATGGTTGAGCAATTTGAATGACTTAACACAGTGTCATTATCTTGCAATATAAACTGGTAACCTCACACGTCCACACTTCATCGCCATATGAAGTAAATGAAGCTAGCTAAGCGGATGCTGTATCGACGAGTAACTTGCCATTAAGGATTATTTTATAGCATGAATTTAAGACTATTTATTCAAATGATATTTTACTCTTGTATTCATTTTGTTTTAGATTTGTGACATGAATATTTCAGTGCTGCTTAATTTTGTTCTGAATTCTCGTTTCTTGCTTGTAA